GCTTTGTGGGCTTATAGGACTGCATACATAACTCTTATAGGAATGTCCCCATATAGGCTAATATTTGGGAAAGCTTGTCACTTACCAGTTGAACTTGAGCATAAAGCATATTTCGCTATTAAAGAGTTCAATTATAATTTAAAAGATGTTAGTGAGAAAAAATTATTGCAATTAAATGAGCTAGAATAGACAAGGAATGAATCTTACGAGAGTGTTAAGATTTACAAAGAAAATATGAAGATGTGGCATGATCGAATGATTCTTATTAAAAATATTTAGTCAGGGCAACAAGTTTTGTTATATAATAAAATGTTAAGATTATTTACAGGCAAACTTAAGTCCAGGTGGATGGGCCCATTTGTTGTGATAAAAGTTTATCCTTATGGAGCTGTGGATATCAAAGATCCTAAAACTGAGAAAGTATTTAAAGTGAATGGTCATAGACTGAAACCTTATTTAATAGGGGATCAACATAAATTTAATGATCGAATGATGTTGGGTCAACCGAAATAAGCACTGATTACGTCGAGCTGACAACGTTAAACCATGCACTTTGTGGGAGGCAACTCATAGTTATCAGTGTGTTTTGCTTTGAATGTTGTTTGTGAGTGATTAAGAAAATTTGGGTTGTATTTTTTAGACTATTATGTGTTAGTATTGATTTTAAGACTTTATTTAGTGATCTAGACATGCTAAAATGAGAATTTGGACGTTAAGTTGACTGGTGCAAAATTGAGCACTGACGCTTATTTGGCGCTTAAGCGCGAAAGTTAAAAACCATGTGCAAAATTTGGTTCTAGAAGGTTTAATCGACAATTATTTGACTAAAACGTGCCAAAGCAGTTTTAGGACGTGTCTATGAGTTACTCGAGGGATTTAAGCCTATAAATAGAAGGGTTTTGTGAAGGAATTTTACCCCAGATCATTTTTAGCCCTAAAAGTCTAAGAGAGAGAGAGATTTTGAGAAGATGCCTTCACAGGAGATGGATTTGAAGAAGAAGGAAGAGACCATGAGAAAGAGATTCATTAGTCAATGTGAATAAGAGATGTATAACAATTTCTTAGTCGTTAGTATTGAAGGAATATCAGAAAAGATCAACAAATTTGAGACTAGCATGACTTTACTTGAGATAAAGGTAATTGAGATTAATGCATTATTGGATGGTAACTGAAAATGCAATTTAGCCATACTAGTTATATAGAGGAAGCAAATAAGGAGATGTATCTTAAACAAAAATAGATTGAAGAAGATAGTATCAGAGCTCGTCACCACAATCCGTTTTATCAACTTTATATTTCGATTGCCCAAGGAAAAACTAATGAAAGACCAGTATTTGTCCCAACAAATGAAGAATGAAATAGAATGAAAATGAAGAATGAAATTAAGTTCAGTGTTAAAGTTTGTTGTTAGGAGTCATTGTTTAATGTGTCAAGTGTTAAATACTGTTTTTGGAGTTTATGTTAGTTTGCTTAGTGTTTGTATTTAGAGGATTTTCTTGGAGTGAGAATTAAGTGTTATATGTACTTGTACTAGTTTGTAAATGAATGTATATGTTTGTTTTTGTAAAAATTTGTGTAATTTTTAGACTCGAATCGAATTAGTTATATTGGAGAATTTTGAGAAAGAAGAGAGTTAAGGGAGAGGAAAATAGTCATTTAAGTGTTATGAGACTATTTAGGGGTAGTGTACTTAAGGCTAAATGTGCATTTTACTTATGTTTAAATATATCAAAAATAGTGCACTGGCGCCTAAGCGCCACATTCTCGCGCTTAAGCGCGATGTAGCCCAAAAGTCAGGCGTCTAAGAGCCACTTATTCGTCTAAGCGCCACTTATTCGCGCTTAAGCGCCGGTTCACGAAAATAGGTTCGCGAACGGTTAAAAGTGAAAAATAACCTCAAAATCGCCATCTTTACTCTCGTCACCTTCAACCTCTCGAATTCACGATTTTGAAGTCTAAAGCATACCTTTTCTTGAAGATTTCTTCATGGAGTTGAGTAAAATTTGCTAGATTTGGATTTCTTAAGGTAAGCGCTTCAATTCTATGTAAAAATTAGCTTCAATCACCATGTATTTTGAGTACATTTGGAAGAACCCAAAAATCACTATTCATGGTGAAATTTCTTTGGAAGAACCCAAAAATCACTGAACCCAAAAATCACTATTCATGGTGAAATTTCTTCTCATAATCACTTTTCTTCTGTTATACCCATCAATATGATCCGCAAAGCTTTATAAATTTCTTACCTTATATGCTGTATAATTGATATTGTCCATAATCCTCTGCAATAATTGATTTTAAGTTTCAGTAGACTCACCTCTAGAAGTAGAAGCTCATGAGGTAGATAGTCTAGATGTAGAAGCAGTAGACATTGTCATTCCATATCTCCTTTAAAATCCTCCTCTCCAACCAAAAATTGAATGCTCAAAATATGACTTCATATTTACACTTGTAATTGGCTTTAGAGGTAACAGTACTTCATCCCAGCTATCATATCTCATTCTAACCTACTCACATAAAGAAAAGATTAATGAAGCAAATCCCAAACCAGCAAATCCCAATCCCAAACCTGCAGTAGTAGCGACAGTGGCAGAACTGATGATAGTCTGATAAATCAAAGCTCTAATATTGATGAGCTCGCCTTCCTGAATACAATAATTTAACGTCACTCTCTCCTGGTAACTTTACTGAGATGATTCTTCAGTAACAGACGAGCAGAAATAAAGTAGTGTCACACCTTGAATGGTGCACTTAACTTTGAAGTGGTAAAGTTGACTCTACTCTCATTTGTGATTTTCTAGAGTTCTCTTCCAACAGTCAAATAGAAAATAATATCGCATAGTTCCGTCTCAGTCGGACTATAGTTCGCATAAAAACACAAAGTATCAGGTGGTAGATGGTAAAACATATTGATTACCTCCGGTGAAAATGGTACCAATTTTCCTCTAACCATGACTCGATCTTCTTCAGCCTCGGGAAGGTTGGCATAAAACTCCCTAATTATAGAAATAACAGACACAACAAAAAAATAGTAGAATCATTCCCATTATCGGCAAACGATCAGATCTTCTGCGGATCCACCTGGATTTTTGAAACATCGCTCTTGGATAAGTTTTCGTGATTGTAGAGCTTTTCGTGATTGTAGAGCATCGAGCATCGCTATACCTATCTTGAGCTTTTGAACTCACAAACTTGCTCGAATCAAAGGGACGTTTTCCTTTGTTCCTCTTCATTCGAGGTGCCATTCTACAAATTTCATAAAATTCCACAATAACTTCAAAAATCAAGTTTAATCTACTAAACTTAACTTTTATAAGCAAAAAACTGCATTTTCTATGCAATTTTCATAGATTTTTCCTCACTTTTCACCATGAATAGTGATTTTTGGGTTCTTCCAAATGTACTCAAAATTTATTGTGAAAATCCAAAATTTTTACATAGAATTGAAGCTCTTACCTTAAGAAATCCAAATCTAGCAAATTTTGCTCAATTCCACGAAGAAATCTTCAAGAAAAGGCTTGCCCTAGACTTCAAAATCGCGAACTCGAGAGGTTGAAGGTGACGAGAGTAAAAATGGCGATTTTGGGGTTATTTTTCACTTTTAACCTTTTGCGAGCCGATTTTCGTGAACCGGCGCTTAAGCGCGGATAAGTGGCTCTTAGGTGGACACCCTACACTCGCGACATCAAAAATTGATGCCAACAATGTGTTATTGATTTGTTATTTGTGTTATTGTGGTATTATTCAAGTGTTACTTGAGGTAACCCACTTTGTATTGGCGTGTTTTTGGCGGTGGTGTTATTGCGGTGCAATCACCTTCGAAAACAGCCAAATAACACAGCTGTCACAATAACATGTTGTTTGTCGAAACGACGTGCTGGTTCAGGCTGTCAAGCAAAAAATATTGGGTGGTATGTACGTAAAATATTTATTTATATAAGTAATAAACTAATAATAATATAGTAATATTAATAATTTTTTATATATTATAATTTAGAGCATTTAATTATTTAAATTATGATGATTTTGTTATTTAAATTATTTTAATTAATCATAATTTATCATATTTAATTTTATGATATTATATTATAAAGTTTTCAAACATTTATTTCCTATACAGATCAAATCTCAGATAATAAATAGCTTGAGGTAACCAACGGTGTTATTGAGTTGTTATTGTGGTCTTATTGATGTATTATTCGAGTGTTATTGTTGTATTATTCGAGAGTTACTTGAGATAACCTACAATTATTGTGGTATTATTGATGTGTTATTACAATATCATTCGAGCGTTACATAATGTACTCCACTTTGTTTTGGGGTGTTTTCGGCTGCGGTGTTATTGTGGTGTTTTCACGGTGTTATCGCAGTCGAAAACACCAAAATAACATAGTTGCCGCAAATAACATAGTGTTCTTCGAAATATCGGAATTGTTCGGGCTGGGTCAGACGAAAAACATTGGGTGGGATGTACGTAATATATTTATTTGTATAAGTGATCGAGTAATAGTAATATATTATTATTATTAATATTTTGTTAAATATCATAATTTATAGGATTTAATTTTTTAGAATATGATAATTTTATTACTTAAATAATTTTAATTAAGCACAATTTATCATAAATATGTATTATAATTTTTATGTGTTTTTGGAAGAATTTGGCGAGACTAAAAAATGCCAAGTTCCACTCTTCGAAGCTCTGGAAGGGTTCGGGGGCCCGGGGCGGGTCATGAGTTTAGAAACTACTTATTTTACTTTTTTTTATTGATGGGACTCATAAATAAGGAGCATTGTTTCGTTAGTTTCTCGACACAAATTTATGTATATAAATTTAGGGCCGGTGTGTGGGTCCCACTCTAAATAAATAAAATGTATTATATCGGTTTTATAGGACAACTCGGTTGCCAACCAATATGCTTTTAAATTATAAATATTTATTGCACGAATACCAACTGACAAATATGCTTTTAAATTAATAATCAAATATGGGGGGCAGGGGTCATCCAAATGGTAAAAACCCGCTAGCACTCCGGTTGTCGCTCAATGGAGAGTCTCAAATCTCTTCTTTCGGATGACCTAAAGCTGATGATCGCTGAAGGCACTACCGATGTCCTCGACTTGACTTGCTCTTCACTGCTCGAATTCTGCCAGCATCTCCCCCAGTTTCAGAGTGTGAGCACTTTCTAGTGATTTTTAATTAAATCCATTTCATTTCTTCAATCGCCGGTCTTTTTGTTTACTTTTTTTTTTTCCAGGTTATTGGAGAACTAACTGGCGGATTGGCTCTTTGTCGGAAGAGTAAGGAGTTTGCTTTGGATTGGAAGGGGAAGGGAAATGAATGCTTCTCAGAGGGAGACTATGCTAAAGCTTTGAGCTTTTACTCGAAGGTTGTTGTGATTCTCTGCTCATGTGCTTCTGGTCAAAGACACTAATGTTAGGATGGTTTTTAGTGATCGTTCTTTTTAGATTACAAAGAAAACAAATGGCATGTTCAATTTTAATACAATAAAGCCTAACTTGCTTAGAGGTGACGCTTTGGAGCATTGCATCTAAGATGCTTCGGTTAGGTTTCCTTGTCTGAAATAAACAGGCTCTCTGCCATTCCGTTCTTTTATTAATCGTATCAGTGCTGACCTTGGTATGATTATTATTTGTATTTTTGGGATATTTCAAGTTATGCTGCACAAATTTGAATCTATTTTTACTTGTTTCTCTACTACTGGGGCGGCCTTTAGTCCCTCCTTCCTTGTTTATCATCTAGTTTCTTTTGTTACCTACACATTATGGTCTTCTTGAACAGGCATTACAATGTGCACCAATGGGCATGGATGATATGGATGATAAGTTAGTTGGAACTCTCTTTGTTAATCGTGCATGTGCACTACACGTATGTGTTTCCTTCTCTTTTCTTCCTTGTTTTATTGGTATTTTCAATTGCTTGTTTTTTTAGCTAAAAGTGATATAGCATATTTATATTTCTAATCCATGAAATAATTCACCTCATCGAGCAAATTTTAGTCTGGCATATTATTGATTCTGGGAATCTCTACAAATTTCTTTTTTCAGTGCATTATTATTATTATTTTTTTCTTATATGTTGACAAAGACTGACCATTTTATGTCGTTAATGATTTCATTTTTTAATTGTTGCTTGTTCAGAAAATTGGTCTTTTTGAAGAATGCATACGAGATTGTGGTCGTGCGATTACAATTTACCCGATTTATGCAAAGGTAAGAAAATGAGCTTTGGTCTACCGCTTTTCTCATCTTTGAAACATGGAGCTAATACACTAAAAAATACTGCAGAAATTATAATTGATCAATGCTTTCTAATAACAAGTGTTCACTATGTAAATGTCAATTTTTGTTCATCTAGAAATGGGAATTGGTATGGCAATAGAAGGAAGAGAGCTATATATGAAATTTATACAGTTTCAGGTTACAAGTTTTAAAGTTCCAACTGGTCTGATGCAGGCATTTTCACTTGTCTTAACGAAAAAGATGATCCCACCTAGAACCTATACAATCCGGTTCTATTCCCTAGCCAGTTCTGGGAATTACTGTCCCTTTAGTTGGCTTGCCCATTATAGGGCTATTAGTTGCTTTATTTAGGTTTTTATTAGGGTATATTTGATTCCATCATATAAATATGTTAATTCTTAGCCTTGGGGCTTTTGTTTAGTTTATGCATATTACAGATTGATTTTTCTAAATTTCAACTTAAAGAGTGTGTATATCTTTTGTCTTGCATGCCTGCAGCTTGTTCAGGATCAAGTGATGGATCTTCCTTGGCATCCATACCTCGTCATTATTGCTTTTTTGTTGTATCTTCTGTTGTCTTCCTCTTGGACAGCAGCCAAAACTAATTGTTCCTCTTCTAATCCTTAAATTTGATCCTCAAATACTTTTTAGTAACTCTTTAAGGGAGTTATTTGGTATCACAACCAAATTCTAACTAAATCCATAAAACTTAATCTTTTTATCATATCGCGAAGGAGAAAATCCTTGAAGAGATGTTCAAGACCTTAAAATGGATGTTATGCAAAGCGAAATCTTCTACTTGCAATGGGGACTTGCTAATTTTGAATAAAGGCAACCCTCCCTTAGTCTTGAATGTGGAGATTGCTTGTCTCCAAATTTTAGTAATTTTAAATAAAAATAACCACGCTAAGCTTTGATATAAGAAATACTGGCTCATGAAATGGAGATTGATTGTTACATTGGTTTATATAACTATATACGTGACATTGCATTTCCATATATGAACCCAATAAAATAATATTTCTCTTTTCATTCTAGAAATATTCAAATTATTCTTCCATTACTTGGGCTAGCTTTTAGTTGTATTGTGTTCCATAATTAGGATATTCTGTGGGTTCAGGTTTTTTTGGATTGGTTGTTTGATGGTATGATTTTCCACAACTATTGGAGTTGGCTTTTTCTATAGTGGATTTTCATTAAGGATGTGTGAAGTTCAATTTTGTGGCTTTTTTTGGAGGTATGTGCTTTTGTCTTTTTTTTTTTTTTTTTTTTTTTTTTTGTTTACCACTATAAGCGTTCCACAACTCAACTAGACCGAACATGATGCTAATCGACATTCCACTTATATGGTAGATTCCTAAGAATCTTGTCTTCTCTGGGTTAGAATATCCTTCTCTTAGGAAATGTAAACAAGGGAAATCATGTCTACCATAACATCTTTTCATTCATTCACGTTGAAGAGTTCATATTCATGTGCCAACATCTTGATATTGGATTTTATAACTTCATTAATGCATTATTAGTCACCAAAAGGTGATCGTATATCTCTTTTCCACTCTAACACATAGATACTTGCATGAAATTAGCAAATATGAATGCACATGAAGAAAATATATTAAAGATTTAAAATTTGATTGTGCAAGCTTTTATATTTATAAGGGATCCATTCACTGTATGATACATTTATGGTGCAGTGATCATCAACCTTACTGGATGAGGTTAATCAATTTTAAATAAGTGCCACGTACAAGAATCAGTAATATCAATAAAGTGGGATTTACTCTTAAGCTGTGAAGAGGTAAAGGACATCATTTTGATACAAGTTGAAAGCAATGACACAAATTTAGAGGGGCTGGGGGTTCAATTTGGGCTCTTTTAAAAGCTTGATCTGTAATTACATAACAATCTATAACTATTGTGATAATGAAAAACATTAAAGTTTAGAAAATAAAGCCGGCAATGCAAATTGATGTATAGTTATTTGACCCCAAATTCCAATGACATTCCACCAGTTCTATCGAGATTTTCACTCATTTGCAATCACACATCTAGAAGCCTCTTAAAAAATACTCCTTGATACGTAATGGAGTTTGCTAATGCTTTTTCTCTAAGCGAGAGGCCTGTCACTTCTAGTACAAACTATTAGGTCGTAACATCTCATTTTCAAGGCTTAAGGTTGTATTTAGGACGGCTTGTGGATTTTTTTGGTTGATAGTTGATGGCTTTCAGTGTTATTATGTCCCAAAGTATGGATATTTCTATATGTTTTGGTTTCTTGGATTACCTTCTTGCAGTATGATGCTACAACTATTGGGTTTTGCTTTCTCAACACTTAGGCATATGAGGCATTTGATTAGTGGGATCTGCATTAATTTGCTCTATGATGCTCTTGTTGTTTTTTGATTTTGTCGTGGTTTCACTATAATTGGTTATATTGGTATTCATTTGATTTTTTTTTTGTATTCCGATAGATTTTGTGTCGTCCATGAACTTTTCATGTGAAGATGTCTTGGCTATATGTATCTTGCGACATTTGATTAAACAATGGCATTTATGTTACTATTATTGCCCAACTCTTTTATTTTTAATTTTTAATTTTAAAATATGGGCCTTTATGATTATAGATGCATGTGAAGATTCAATCGTGTATTTTCCAATATAATTTTCAGTTGGATGTATAATTCCTTCTAGTGTACTGCTAGTTCAAGTTGGAGATTGGATTTTTTTTTTAAAGAAATTATCTCATTGTACGAGTTGGAGCTATAATTCTTCTTGATTTATCAAGTTTTATCCAATTTGTAATTGGTTTTTATCAAGTTTTATCCAATCGATTTGTGCGTGGTAATGTTTTTCAACTGAACTTGTGATATTTATTTGTCTCAGTTTTGTATATTATTTATACTAGATTTCTTAACTTGTGATATTTATTTGTCTCAGTTTTGTATATTATTTATACTAGATGGCTTTTACATTATAATTTTGGTGGATTTCTTAACTCTTGTTTGGGATCAATTTTTGTTTTTAGAAACATGCTTGTGTAATGTGTTTTTATATTGTTTCTATTTTTGTTTATAGAAATAAATCAAGTTATTTGAAAAGAAAAACTCAAATAACTTTGAGGAATTACTACAAACTACCATCATAACTGGCCTCAATTGTTGCTATCCATCACCATTGGTCGCTGTTTCTATCAACACTTCATCAACTATTGTTGTTACCCTGCTGATGACCATTGCTACCACATAAATTTAATTATATATTCATTAAAAATAAGAATCTTGTATTTTTAAAAATGCCAAACATATTTTATTCCATATTGGAATATAAATAAAATAAAATAAATATTAAAGTAATGCCAAATAGTCCCTTAGAATTTTTGGCTTCATGAATAATAATAAATAATTATTAAAAACTAAGAGTTAGTATTTGAGTGTTTTTTTTTTTTGTACTTCTAGTCGTAGTTCTACATTAACAAATGTTGAACCCTTAGCTGATTTTCATTAACGAGGCAATAGAGTTACATGATTTGTAACTTGTTTAGTAAATTTAACCTGTTTAGTGAAAGTTTAGCTGTACAGAAATTAGAAATGATAACTACTAATGTGGTTAAGTAGAAAAATTATGGCAATTTTTAGTAGCTTTTTTTTTTGTTCATGCCTATGCCACTATTGTATGGCTGGATTCTTTCACTATTGAAAAGGGTTAAAAAAAACACTTACTTTATCTCAATTTAGGGTTGGTACAGGAGAGGGAAGGCAAATGCTTCACTCCAACGGTATGAAGTTGCAATCTGTGATTTAGAAATTTCTTTTTGCATGGAAGATTCTTTATCTGGGAAAAAACAGATAATGGAAGATATTCAATCACTATTTCGTCATCATAGTAATTGTACAAGCAAGTCCGATTATCTAAAGAGAAATGAGAAATTGCATGATGTTTCAGGTTTTGTTCTAATACCTTTTTTTTCTATTTTTTATTGAAGAATCTGAATTAATCACTATCTGCTCCCGTATGTGTCCTTTTTGTATTTAAATTTGTACTGACTATTCATTCTCCAAATGATATATCGCAAGATTTTCATCAAGCTTTTAGGGATTCTATGATTAAATTTGATAAAATAACTGGATGTTTAGAGCATAATGATACTGAATTCTAGAAACGTTCCTATTGATGTGATTGAACAACTGATCTTTGTGCTTGGGACAAATAGCTTATGTTAATAAGTAGAAAAACTCTATTATTATCTATTAGAATGGGAATTACTGGAAGGGATCAGTTTGCAGATTTTTATGTCTATTTGCTGAAAGGTAATGCTGGTATCTTTCACTTTGTTCCTCCTTTTATTTCGTTCATTTTATATTGTTTTATTGGAAGCACTTTGAACAAAAATAAACCTAGAGTTTATGAATGTTCTGTTGCACCCTCTTGTTATTATTTTTTAAAAAAAAATTCTGCTTAATGTCTTCAGATTATCCTACTTTTTTGGCAGAACTATGAATTCGTACTTCTAGTAGTATTGTATCTTCCATGTTGAATTAATTATAGAAGTCTATCATATAATTTTGTTTTGAACAACAACAACAACCACAAAAACAACAAGAAGCCTTTATCCCACTAAGTGGGGGTCGGCTACATGAAACCTTTTTCTCCAATGCATTCTATTGTGTGTCATATTTTTATTTAATTCTAATAGATTAAGATCATTTTTTTATACAATGTGCCCAAGTCTTTTTTGGTCTATCTCTGATATTCTTAACATCAGTCAAAACTAAAACATCTACTCTCCTAATCAGATCATCAGATGCTCGACGTTTAATGTGATCAAACCGTCTAAGACGACTCTCTAATCTTGTCCATCACTGGAGCTAAACCAACCCTATCACGCATATTTTCGTTTTGCATTTTGTCTCTAAATGTCAAGCCACTCATCCTCCTAAGCATTCTCATCTCAACAACACTTACTTGGTTTTCTGCTTCTCTTTTAAATGCTAACATTCTGCGCCATAGAGCATTGCAGGTCTCACCACCCTCTTATAAAATTTTCCTTTCAGTTTAAGCGTTACTTTTCTATCACATAATTTTGTTTTGAAGAACAACATAATTTGCCTTAATTAATTTCTATTCCGATAAAATTATTAAGATCTTTAACTTCCTGTTGGCATTAGATTCCACTTTATTGATATCCGTAATTTCATAAAATCCCCATTGTTCAACTGTATAATTTTTTCTTAAAATTTCCCTGAAATTATGCCTTTATTCACAATAAGCTAAACAAAGTTGTTTTTGTTACAGCTGATATTAAGCTGCATTGCATTACAACACCAGATAAAGGCAGAGGAATGGTTTCATCAAATGACATCCCCCCAGCTTCATTAATTCACACAGAAGAACCTTTTGCTGCGGTTTGCCATTCCCTAAACCACCATTAAGTCTTTTTTTATTCTTCCACTCTCTTTTCTTGTAAACACAAGCATATACCTGGTAACATCTTCTTTTTTTCAGGAATAAAACACTTTTTCAGTTAACTTGTCATTTTTATACAGAAGTTACCAAGAAACTCTTACTTGCAACAGTGTTTTGCAGATTATTTCAAAGACTTGCCGGGAATCAATCACATGGCCATTGTGGCTGCAATGAAGGTCCTGCTGATTCTTTGTTCTGCAGTTCATGCACAATACCACTTTACTGCTCTGAGCATTGCCTAGAACAAGCTGTTGGCTTTAAGTTTGTCAGGAGCAAACATTTTTCAACTTTGCAGAATAATCTATCAGAAGAACTTTGGAATCATGTTAGAGAAAGCATCTCAATGTCTCCCAGTGCAAGTGAAAATGTTGCTCACCTGCCTGAACACTTACATGAATGTGGAGGCTCACACTGGTCTGCTGTTTTACCAACTGATGTAGTTTTGGCTGGTAGAATAATGATGAAGTCCGTTGAGAGGAGAAAAGTTGGTGGAGGGTTGTCCAATAATAATTTTACATTGGTATATTTCTAAGCCTTAATTTTATGGATAAACTTCAAGGAAATTCTCATCATTTTTTATTTATTTTTTAGGATTTCTCTCACCATTATAACAAAATTCCTCCTGATTACAAGTTGGAGATGCATCTGTATGCCCTTGTGCTGGCTTATTGTCTTCGCCAATACTTACCATCTGTTGAGACTTTTATCTCCAAGGTATGCTGCTATTAATAATTTTTGTGAATTTTATTTTCCAGCGGGCTTTAGCTTCTATGAAGCGCAGATAGCAGGGTCTGGGCTTTATACCACCCGCTCAAGCATTATATTTTCGTGAAGCATTGAAATTTGGAATATATGAAGGGACAACGTTATCAAGAGGAAATTATTTCAGGTTTTCATCCAACAATTGTTTATATAATGTCTGAATAAACCTAACAATGCCATTTTTTCAGCTTAAGGTAATGCATATACCAAATTGAACTTCTGATAGTGTCTTGAAGTTTTCGATTGACTAAATCTCTTGTAGGGACTGACACCTCATTAGAAGTATCCGTGACACCTCAATAGGAGTATCCAAGCTTTATCACTTAATTTTTTATTGAAATTCTGTTGATGAATCATGAATTACATGCATGGCCTCCCCTTTCATACATGCACCTTTGTAATGGATGATCAACTTTGCAACGCCCAAATTTCAAGCAATAGATAACATTCGGTAAATTTGAAAAGTACCCCAAAAATTTTCTATCTCTTGGAATTTGATCGAAATAATTTTACAAAATTTTATGCATGAAATTTATCAATTCAATATAAAGTAACATGCATGAATTATTAACGGATTGGGAGGTATAAAATGTTGAAGTTATAAGTTTAATTAACTGAACTAAATCCTTAGCTATATTTCCTAATCCCTCACTTAATTTCGCAGAACTATAGATAACCAACCCCTGCGCCATTTTATTTCCTTCGTTCGATCGAATAGGGCTTTTGCGAGCTTCGTAATTTCCTCCATACCGAAATTCCTTCCCTTCTCTCTTGATTCCCCCTCTCCCTATTCCGTTTTGCGCGACTGGAGGTAATCTTGCAAATGTTCTGCTCGGGGCACTATAGCAGCCGCGAAAAGTGTAGGGGCATGCAGCCATATACAATTCACAAAGCGAGATCCAGGGTTTTGGGGCAATTTCTGTAAGCACGAATTCCTCTCACGCCGTTTAAGTTTTTTATTTTCTTTCTCATCCTTTCGTTTTGACATTTGATTTATTTTTTGTGTTTTTCTTGTTTCCGATAGTTGTCAGAGGTATCAAACTCGTGTCGGAAGCATCAAAAGTATTTTGAAAGCTTCATATGAGTTTTAGCACGAAATCAACTAGAGGAAATTGAAGATTAAGGTGTTATTAAAAGTTGGAGAGAAATTAGGTTATTTCGGAAAAAAACAAATATATGTCGAGAAGCCCATTTGTGATATGTTTGGGCAAATAATTTTTGTTTTGGGTTAATGCATGTTATAAGCCCAAATTTTATGAACTCCTACGATGCTTATGAATTCCCATGTTGTCTATACTATGTGGTGATTTTGAGACGTGTGTGGCACTCGTTGTAGGGCTGCTCTATGAAGTCAGTTGAAATAATCTTTTGTTAATTTAAGAAAAAAATTTCTATAGGTTTTCATATGATTTTTATTTTGAAAAAAAAATGTATTTAGAATTTCTGCATATTATGTATGGATACCTGCAATTGAATATATGAATGCATGTTTGTTTTTCTTACGATACATGTACTGCTATGATCAGATTATGTAACATATGACTATGCTTATGATATGAATTTCCTGCAGATATTCATTTATTATACTTCATGCCTATGATATATGTAATACCTTATAAATGCTTGATATAGGAATAATGATTTAAATATCATAAGGAATGTAAGAGTAGACTATTAAATGAGTGCTTGCAAGTACATTATGCAGGGATGTATCATTTCTGACTTTTGATATTTATACGGAGATGAAACTCTAGGAACCGTTGGAGTTAAGCGGTGATAGAATGTTAGGAAACTGTGGGTATTATGGGGGTTATTGATAACTACTATGTTGAGGAAAACCTAATCTTTATTTATAGTTAATATGACATTTGGGGCAGGATGATAACCATGATGGAAGGACATATAAATAGTTGAATCATATATATTAAATAAATGATTTTATATGAAATGACATCTATAAAATGACATTGCTATGATTAAATATGTTAAACAGTCTACGAACATGCTTTTGATTATACTTATGATTTTATGCTTGCAACCTACATGTTACATTGCAGTTTTGATTTTTATACTACCTGCACTTTTTTCATTTTCTCTTTTATGCTAGCATACTATGAAGTGTGTGTAGACCTGCACAGTTTCATATGAGTATGCACGTCGTTTTTTTTCATGTGTAAAATTTTATGTTAGTCTTTATTATTTCTCTGAACTCGTTGTTGCTCATTCTTCGTTGTGGCCTTCCAGGTAGGGGCGATGATTAATGGGGTGAGTAGTCATGTGTGTCTTTCTACGACTTTTACATGTTAGTTTTGGGAGCTTGTTCATATGTTTTTTATACGTACTTTTATTATATTGGGATTAATAGCTATGCATAGTTATCATGTTTTGGATATGATTTTCTTACTTTCAATTATGTATATGAATGAATTATGAATTGTAATGTATCACGTATGTTGTGGTGATCTAGTTAGACTAATTCATAACTCATTAGGTTCTAATTATAAAAGTTAGGACGAGTGTTGGTGAGAGTTGATCTGACCAAATTGTCAGCCTCTGTTGCATCACGATTAGCCCTATTAGGGGGTTTGTTGGGGTGTGACGGAAAGTGATATCAAAGCATGGTTCTTGGATGAAATGAATAATAGAAGCTTGTTGGATTTAGAAGTATGAATGACATCAAATATGAGTTGATTTAGATACAAATATAGGTTGATGAATCTGTAGTGGGTATCCCATATGACTTAAGGTATCATGCTTGCAAAACAAAATATTATATGATAAATTGTATTTAAATGTAAATTGTGCCAATGCAGATGAACACGCCTGGAGATGAATCAAAAAGTACTAAGGGTCAATCTCGTAGGCCAGGTGCAGAGAATGAAGTAAGATTTAAAAATGTTGAGAAAGACAGTTTGGGCAATATTTGACTGATTCTACAAAATGTTACAAATATGGACAACCAGGGCATATTCAAATGAATTGTCCACAAGAAAAGAAGAGATACAACATATTACAGACAATTCAAGGACAGGAACAACCTAGAAAATTTTTGGAAGGCAGTCTACCCTACATAACTGAATTTTTGGGAAAGCCTTCAGTGCAAACAAAAGGCAAAACTTTAGAAAGCAGAATTGAGCAACGAGTAAAAGCCTGAGTTTTTGCAATTACTCCTCAAGAAGCCAAAAAATTTGAAGTTGTTAAAGGTACACTCCTAATTTAAGGTCAACCTGACACTGTTCTATTTGATTCAGATGCATCACATTCTTTTATTTCTGATAAGTTTGTTGTCAGTTTACATTACTATGCCATCTGAAAGTAGTTTTTATGTCAATTGGAAAATGTGTATTGCATGTTCATGTTCATGATAAGAGTTGTCAACAGAGTTTATTATTATACCAATTCAGACTTTTGATGTCATTTTGGGGATGGATTAGTTGACAAATCATTTTGCTACAATTGAATACTGGAAAAAGGCGGGTGAAGCTGAAATCGCTTGGTGAAAAATCATTTTATTTCATATGTGATCGAAATACACAATCTTCCTTGATTAGTGCATGGAAAGTTGAAAAGTATTTGCGAAGTGGTGAACTGATATTTTTGGCAAAAATTAGAAGTGTTGAATAAAGATATACAAGATTTAAAAATTAATTCAGTAGTTTTGGAATTTTCTGATGTATTTCTTGAATATTTTGTCAAGGCTACCGCCAGAACGAGAAGTTGGATCTGGTATTGATGTGCAATTGGGAACATATGCAATATTCAAATATCCTTACAGAATGTTTCCGAAGGAATTACATGAATTGAAATGCCAGTTGCAGGAATTGATCGATAAGTGTTTTATCGACAAACAATTTACCATGGAGCGCTCCAGTATCATTCGTCAAGATGAAAGATAGATCCATGTGGTTATGTATTGATTACAGAGAGCTGAATAAGATGATAATAAAAAATAAATATTTTTTGCTTAAGATTAATGATTTATTTTATGAATTGATCTGAGATTTGTATATTATTAGGTTTGATTCAAGGAGACATATATAACAAAGACAGCTTTTAGGAACCAAATATGATCGTTATGAATTCTTAGTTGTCTTTTGTTTTAATTAATGCTTCTGCAATTTTTATGTACCTTATGAATCAAATTTTCAATCCATGTGTGGATCGGTTTGATATTGACGATATTTTGATTTATTCAATAATTGATGATGATCTTGTCAAATATTTGAGGATGCTTTTGGAGCTGCTGAGGTAGAATCAGTTATATGCAAAGTTTTCGAAATATAAATTTTAGGTGCGAAACATTGCATTTTTGGGACATTATCAATGACCAGTGAATTTCAATAGATTCTCATAAGGCAACTGTGGAATGACCTATTCCAAAGAATGTTATGGAGGTATGTAGTTTTCTTAGTTTGATTGCATATTACACGAGATTTGTTAAAGGTTTTTAACAAATAGTTGTGCAGTTATCTAAGCTGATGAGAAAATGTCCAGTTTGAGTGCACTGTAGAATGTGAGCACTGTTTTCAAGAGTTACAGAAACATTCGACCAATGCACTAGTGTTAGCTCTTCCATCATATACAAAAGGATTCTAGATTTACAGTGACACATCATTAAGAGGCTTGGGTTGTGTTTTAATGCAAAATAAAAAAGTAATAACATATGCATTTAGACAGTTGAAGCCACTTGAAAGGAACTATCAGACGCATGATCTGGAGTTAACTGCGTATTATTTGCTCTCAAGATTTGGCGTCATTATCTGTACAGCGTGAAATACGAAGTCTTCACTGATCATCAAAGCCTAAAGTATATTTTTACACGAGCTGAATTTGAGGCAACGAAGATTGATAGAACTGATAAAAAATTATGATTTGGATATGCAGTATTGTCCGGGCTTAGCAAATATTGTTGCTGATGCTTTGAGTCGTAAATCCACAGGCCGTGCAAGCTG